CGTACCATCGTCTGTTCTACTCTGGTAGATAGTGCTGTATGGACGTTTTGGTGGTTTCCATTATAATTGATGCTGCTGTGAATATCCTTGTGCATATGTATTTCCTTATTGTCGGACGTGTATCTTTAGGTAGATTCATAGGTGAGGGATCGCTGGGTTGAAAGGTTCATGTATATGTGGTTTTCCTCCAGAAGTCATATACCCGTTTGCCGTTGGTGTTAGCATTCCCTCCAACAATGTGTAAGACTTCCGGCTTTAGCAACAGAATGTTATCCTTTTTTTTTTTTTTTTAATTTTGCCAGTCTGATAGGCGAGAAATAGTGTTTCTCTCTTTGGTGAATCACCTGTTCATGTCTTTTTTATTGGGATTTTGTCTTTTGGTCTCACTTTTTAGAAGTTCTTCGTATGTCTGTCGTATATGCTGCAAATATTTCCCCCCACTTCTGTCAGTTTTCTTTTTAATTATACAAAGGTTAATTTTATCTGGTCATATTTATCAGTCTTTTCTTTTATTCCCTCAAGTCATAGTTAAAAAGCCTTTCCTTACACCAAATTTAAAGGGGAATTCTACCCAGTTGTCCAAGCGCCATTTATTTATACAGTCTGTTTGTACCTCAGCAGTTTACATGCCACCTTTGTCATATATCATTTTCCATATGTATTCTGGACTTGCCAGTGTATTTCCTATTGTCTGTTGGTGTGCCAGCACCGCACTCTTTGAATTATAGGGGCTTTCTAGTATGTTTTTAATGTCTAATAGGGCTAGTTTACCCCCCTTTTCATTTTTGTTTTTCCACGTTAATCTTAACTGTTTCAGTCCATGAAATAGATAATTGGTATTTGTATTAGGATTGTATTGAATTATAGCTCAAGCTGTGGGGAAAGGCCACGTGGAGTTTTTCATTTCAAGAGCAGGGGACGTTGTTTTCACTTGTTCATATTTACTTTTATGTCTCTTAGAAGTGTTTAAGAATTTTCCTCATAGAGATTTTCCCATTCTTGTTACATTTATTCCTATATATTTAATCTAATAGATATATATTGACTCTATACCCTAATAGTAGAGAATACACACTCTTCTGTATACCTTTGCATATTCTTAAAAATTGATCATATATTAGATCACAAAGAAAATATCTGATTAAAATGCAATAAAATTATAGTTTACAAACAAAAACAAAAACCAGGAAGGCCATTTTACCTGGAAATTTAATAAATCCTATAAACAACTCCTGGGTATGAGGGGAAACACAAACTAAAACTGAAGAAATTTTTTAAAGTGACAATAAAAATACAACATAGCAGGGCCGTCTGAGTGGTGTGTTGGTAAAGAACTGGCTTGGGACGCCAGAGGGCCCCAGTTCGGATCCCATATATGAAGGCCAGTGACACTGCCCTCTGCAGCTAAGATGGTGAACAACAGCTCGACCTGGGTCTGGACTGCCCTGGGTTGCTGGTGACGGCGTATGCTGCAGTCCCCTGCTGCAGTGGGCTGCCATAAGCTACCGTGTGTAGCCAGCAGCCAGTGTGAGCAGCCAACAGCCGCCGTGAGTGGCTGTCCAGAAGCCGGTGACTGATCTGCCTCAGCCGGGAAGAGCGCAACGATGGTGCCAACTTGGGCCAGTGAAGCAACATCCTCCACAACTAGACTGAAGAACAAAAACAACAGTAACTTGTCTGTTCCCCTTCCCCCGATTCCCCAGCGCTGTTCCCTTCCCCCAACTCGCCAATAAAATCTTAAAAATAATAATAATAATAATAATAATACAACATAGCAGAATCCATGGCATGCATTTAAAGTAATGATTAGAGGAAAACTAGTTATAAACACATTGGTTTAAATGAAAAAATAAAATTAAATGAATTAAATTCCCAGCTTAAATGATAAAAACAAGAGCAAATGTCAAAAGAATGCATTGATGTTGTGCTCAATGGATATAGAGGAACCACTTAAGACAGTTATGTTTAAAAAGTGGAAAGGCAAAGGGACTTAAGTGGAAGTAATATTGTGTATTGTTGTATTTAGAGCAACCACTGAGAAAACTGTACAGGATGATATACTAAAATACAGTAAACAAATCAAGATGGAATGTAAAAAAATGTTCAAATAACCCATAGGAAGACAAGAGAAACAGAACTAGAAATAGAAAAGAAACTTAAAAAAAAACCCATGCCAGTCAGTCATTAATCAGATGGCTTACGGTAGACAAGATACTGATTCTGTCTCAAAATCTTCCTACCCCTTTGTTTTTGAATAAGAGTGAAATAATTGCTGTAAACAAACATGCTACTGTAAGCAGTGTGCCTCTTCACGAGTTTCTCTGAGGTTTGCATTTGCCTGGGAGTCTGCGAAGACTTTCCCAATTATGGATAGTTCTAGGGAATAAATTTCTGGGCCACAGTTTCTTGTATTCTCTCCTTTCAGTAGCCAGAGGACTCTTCAAGTGACACACCGCCCTAGGCCCCACAGCAGACGACTACTGAAACAAGTCTTTTCCAGGAAGCCCTTGTTACTGGTGAATGAAAGGACCTTAAAACACGGGGCTTTCCTGTCTTCAGCCGTGTTTCTGTCAGTAGTCAAGTATCACTTTAGAAATGGGGTGTACAGGACCTTAGAGGTATCTGAAACTGGGGGTGATGGCCATTTTCTCTTAACAGTCTCTCCTCCCCCATTCCACAAACACTGTCAAATGATGTATTGCTTTTGGGAGAGCATGATGAAAAAGGGCTCAGTAAAAAAAAAAAAAATGGAATGCTTAAAATGATACACATATACACACATTTTGAAATGTTAGCACCACTCTTCCTATCAAAAGTCTTTCCCTAAACAAGTTGTATCACCCTCTCCAGGGAACATTTGACAATTTCTTGAGATATTTTTGATTGTCATGATGATGTGTGTGTGGGTGCTCTTGGGTAGAGGCAAGGAATGCTGTTAAACACAGGACAGCCCCAACAACAGTTATTTAGTCCAAAATGTCAGTGGTGCCGAGACTGAGAAACCCTATTTTAAACATATTTGATTTCTACTGCCTGTTTTTAGAGTTGTGGATTTCTAGGGTTTTTATACCTTTAATTAATACGTTCATTAATTACTCAAGTTTAAGGGTAAGCTTACATTTGAATAATAACAAAGAATAATAAAAGACGACTCACTTTCCTTTAGTAATGGACAATGATGGTGGAAACAACTTATTTTACATAACACTGAATAGTATTCAAAGTTTCATAGACTTCTTATATGATCTTTGTATTTTTATGAGATAGGTACAATAAGTATTTTTATCCTGATTTGATAAAGGACCTTATCTATTTCTTCTAGGCTTCAGGGACTAAACCACTTCAGATAAATGGGTAGTTAGTTGCAGAGTGAGCACATTCTTCATCTGTAAAAGTGATCTTACAACCTTGTTCCTTTCCAGAAGCTCGTTTTATTCCAGCTGAATACTGGAGGGCTCGCTCCTGGCCTGGCCCGCTGATACCTGGCCCGTATTTCCTTTCACTGTATCTTATACCTGTATCAGTGCTTCCACTAGAACTTGCTGCAGTGATGGAAATATTCTATAAATCAGTGCTGTTCAGTGTGGTAGCCACCAGCCACATGTAGCTATTTAAATTTATGTTCAGATTAAATACATTTTAAAATTTCTTTCTCTTCAGTTATACCACCACATTTCAAGTGCTCAATAGTCCTGCATTATCTTCTAATCAGTAGTTCCCAAAGGAACATTCGTAAATCAATAGTATTTTAATTTAATTTTAAAAATGGAAATTGTCTGAGCCCATCTTGGCTTCTGCCCATCACTGATGCTTTGGTCACAGTTACTTAAGCCCTGTGGGAAAGGAGGACATTGCTCTTTAATTTCTCGGCAGGAAATGAATGAATGTCCATTCCCACGATGACATCGCTCAGCCAGTTCCTTTCACCAACACCTTGGCCATTAGCTGGTGTGGATGTTGTTCCATCCAAATCACAGAGTCCTTATGGGAATGGAATGCCGGCTCGGGCAGTGGGCGGTCCCATCCCTGGCAGCTTCGTGGCGTGGGGTTGATGTGCTTTTGGTTCTCCAGCTCTACCCTCTCTCATCACAGCCTTTAGCTCCCACTTGACCAGTGAGGGAGCTGGAGTTCTTAAAACCTCCCTGCCTTCTAGGAAGGTTTCCCAACATGTGTGTACGTGTACGTGTGCAGTGGGAAGGTGGGCCCGCCTGCATGGTATCATGTTTCTGACATTCGCATTTGGTGCGTGGGAAGACTGCTTAAGGAGATCTGGAGTACTGGAGAGCTTTCAGCTATAGGGTGGTTTTACTTCTGTTGGTAGATGAACCTGGAAACCTTACTGCAGTTTATTGCAGCATTTCCTTGGGAACGTGCTTTCCAACTTACAGCCATTTAACTTTACTTAAAAAATTGGGAAGTGTTTGTTTGTATATTAGAACCCATTTAAGTACTTAAAATGTTAAAATTTCTCAGTTTTAATTTTTAAGTCAGTTTATTTCTTGCATGTTAAAAGAAAAGAAAAATATTTAACAGTTGCTACATTCTGCCTATTGTAAGGAAGAAAAGGCCCATTTTGGTTTGATGATGTAGAAGGGCTAAGATGGATTTATTTTTTTGGTAAAGTAATTTGACTATGGTTTCAGTTTTTCCCCATCATTTCTAGTTTAATATCCTCTCATCACAGTCCTGCCCTCAATTTAGCTTTGTGGTTTAATTTTATTCTGTGACTAAAATGCTGAGATAAAAGCAATTAAGTTGTAAAGTTATAAGCTGAAGGAGTCATGAAACAAAAATATATATAATATTGGACATTTTCTTCTTTTGGGAACTCCCAGTTTTCTGAATAGACAATTATGGAGTTTGTAGCCATATTCTACATGTTCTTAGAGTAATGTGGATTTAATTATACCTTCCCCCTACCCCTACCCCTCCAATAGTACTTTGGCTTGCAAAGCAATTGGAGGTATTACTAATGTGGTTTTTTGTTTGTTTATTTTCAGAGGGAAGTGTAACATCTCCCATTTTTCTGACATATTTGCTGCTAGAGAGTTTAAAGCCCGAGTGGATTCATTTTTCTACATATTAGGCTACAACCCTGAGACAAGGTAAGTGAGTCCCTTGGGCCCCATCAGTGAGAACTTTTGCTTTTTTCACTGTGTGTTCACACATCTGGGCATATACTATTAAGATGTAAAAAGGCTTTGATATCCTGTAGTAAACCTCTTTGGAAGGAGTTGTAATTAATGTCTTTGGAGTCGAAAGCCGCTTTGCTCTTTTCCTGTTAAGAAAAAGAAACGTGAGAAAGGGCAAGATAAAGACATACATTTAATTGATCTGTGTTTTGAACTTATTGCAAATTGGGAGATTATTATCCTAATGCACGTCTGTCACGCCTTCCAAACACCACATTGGAAACTGAGGACATTATGGAAAGTTCTTTGGTTAGTGGTTTATTTTATTCATTTGAAAGGCCCCAGGCATACTCACTAAAGTATCTGTGATTAGACTACTGGTATTGAGATGGACACATCCAGTTCTCAACCATCTTTCTAAGATTTGTGTAACAGGTAGAATTACTATTTTTTAAATAAAAAGCAGTAGAGACAAAATAACAGAAAATTCTGTTTTTTTATGTCGATAATAGACTATAGTTTAACTCAACATGTGAGAGAACTTTTATAGAGTGTATGCATTCATTTTTATCCTTTATCCATCATGTGACTACATGTTTGATTAAGGATTTTTTTAAAAGAATATGAGGAGGTGATTAAGTAGTCTATGCTCAGGACATCCAAGACATAGTCTACAAATACAAGGATTTAGGGAAAAAAAGATGCTTGGCTCAAGGAAGTTAGTGGAAGAACTACATTAAGTATAATAGCAAGATGAGTAATTGTTTTAGTGAAAACCTTTTCCTATAGGATGCTGAGAAATTACATGTAAATTTTAGAATGTTGCTGCTTAATCAACCTGGAGTCAGTAAAAGGCAACATACTCTTTGTGTGGTTTTAAGAGGTAGCATAAAGCTCTATCGGGGCGTATATATTAGTGTCTGTATAAATAAACTAATAGTTACCTTTTTTCCCTTTAGAAAACAGTGAATTTGAGCTTTCAGTTTCTTTTTCAAAGTATGCCCTGTTCCAATGACAAAGAAGCTGATCGGTGGTAATATTTCAAAAGCATCTTATACTTTAAAATGTTTATTTTATGTATGCATTTAATGACTGCCTGGTCATACCTTGGTGTTGCCCAGATGAAGTGTGGAATACTTGAACTTGGATTTATGTGTAGATACAAAGGATGATGATGTCATATTGATTTAATTATTTGATACATAGCTGTCATATTACACAAGCTAGACTGTTTTAGCAAATTGACTAACCCTCTTTTGTGTTTTAAATGTTTACCTTTTAGGTTCATAACAACCAACCAAATTATGTTTTCCTAGTTTTGGTTATGCACCTGGTTTTACTGAATGCTTATTAAGTGTGGTGTGTAACGCACCTGTGCAAGCCAGCGACTCACAGGTTCCTGGCTCATTTTTCACTGAGTACCACCGGCAGTCATTCAGAGCGATGCTTCCCATCAGTTTTGTTTCCGAGTGTGGGTTAGGGGTGAAATAGAAGGATGTTATTTGTCTCTCACCTGAAAAAGCGACATGAAGACGTGCCGGTGGCCGTGCCCTTACAGGCTCTGCACCCTGAATCACTTCTCTGACTGCTTTGACCTCACCAGTCACACGGGTTCATTTCTGTGTCGTGATCCCCGTGTCCAGCTTGTGCTGTAGGGTGTTGGGTGAGCTGATGTGAACAAGTACTTGAATGCCTCCTTATAAGTAAAGTTTGTGGCAGACCTCAAAGTTCCCACCAAGTGAGTGTGAAAATCTGTGGGCTGGTGTGGCCTCTGCCCTGGCTCAGGACTTTCCCCCTGAACTGCTTTCTCCTTCTGAAGCTCGGGGTTTGGGGCTACAGCTCCCACAGCTGCTCAGAGGGTCAGAAGAGTGTGTGCGATTTAATAGATCAGAGAAGCACTGCTCCCTCCACTTGGCTCATGCACAACCCGATCTATACGCTCCGGGTGCATGGCCTCACAGAATTTGCCTGTGTGTCTGTCTTTGCGTCAAGTCTGTGAGGAGTGGGGCTGTGTGATGAGTTTGTTTCTGGTGCTCCATTTGAATGAGTGACCGTGGCTGCAGGATGCTGAGTGCTGACTCTTAGTGCCCTGAGTCATCTGAGGAGGATGTCAAGCTGTTGTCCTAACCCTGTGAGGTGGCGCATCCATCAGCACGACCCCTGACATGACCCTTGACGTTAGGAATGGTGATTCTGTGGCCGCACACTTTGACGTTAACCTCCCCACAATGCAGGAACTTTGCTCCTAGTCAGCAGGTGAAACTGAAAGTTAAGAAGGAATTATTTATTTCTCATCACAAATTTTCTGGTAGTAGATAAAAGTTGATTTAGGTACTTTGCATAATTTATTTAGCATATTAGCAAGCACTGAAAGTTTGGATTTTTTTTTTCCATGTTTATCACTTAGGTCCCTTTTAAACCCCAATGGTTGGCTACCTCTTTATTTTTCCCCGTTCTAAGCTGGTTATTATATTTCTGAATGTTGTGTCCTGTCAGACCTGGTTGTCCAGAACTGTTGGTTTTGGTGGTATTACTGTTGAACACATGTATGATAGTGGGAACAGACTCATCTATATGCTCTGGTTCATTGCTTTTAAAAATTGGGAAAGCCATGATCTCCTGTCTTTAATTCTGACATCTGAACGCTCTGAAAATCAAAAGATTTTTATGCTAAAGTTGGTGCTGAAACTCATTTAATGGTCACACTTGACCTGAACTGATATGAGGCTGTTTAATTCTTAATTTCTTTTCGTTCCCTTTGTGTGAATTTGCACAATCTGTACGGCGAAAGTACCAGTGTGATAGAAATGGGATTATTGCTCAGACGCTGGGGTGTTTGTTACAAATTATATGGTATAGTCACTGTAGTACCCTTCTAAATCCAGAATGTTCTGAAGTCTGAAAACTCTTTGACTCCTAGGATGTTAGCTAAGGGATTGTGACTGTGTTCTTTTGATCACTCTTGAAGACTCTCTGACCTGCTGAGCAGCTGTGGGAGCGGTACCCCCAACCCCAAGCTTGAGAGGGAGAAAGCGTTCAGGGGGGAAGTCGTGAGTCAGGGCAGAGGCCACACCCACCCCAGAGGCAGATTTTCACACTCAGTGAGAACTTTGAGGTACTGTGACACTGTGTTCTTGCTAGCCATGATGTTTAAGAAAACAAACTTAATTGAACAAAAAAAACAAAACAATGGGGGCAGATGTTTCCAGCTTCAAGTAAGATACAGGCTACAAGGGGCTGGCACATCAGCGGCTAGAATCTAATGCCTGCCTAATCTGGGAACCCTTAGGAAATGGGGCTTTGCTTTGGGATGTTATATGTGTGTGTGTGTGTGTATATATATATATATATATATATATATATATATATATATATATACACACACACACACACACATATATATCTATATACATACACACACACACACACACACACATATGTATTTCTGCACTCAGGAGGTGTTCACTTTTACCACCTGAACAAGATTCATCCCAAATGATTTCTGTAGTCAGCATACTCTGACTCAGGCCCGTGAAAGAGGGGAAGGAAATAATGGTGAAGGGAGTCCCAGAAAGAACAAAAGGTAGTGGCCATTTGAGAGGGGATGCCTTTATCTTTAAATTATTAAGCATGAATTTTCCCAAGGACCAGTCCATTTGTTTCCCCTTACTAATAATTGTCCTTTAGCTCCCCAAAGTGCATTTAGGGATAGTGAAGAAAACATATAATTTAAAATGGAGCATTTTGTATTGATAGTTTCTGATTCTCTCTCTCTCTCTCTCTCTCTCACACACACACACACACACACACAGTCTGTCTTATAAAAGTGTTAGAGGTCTTGGTCTATAGCATGAAACATCTGATTATATGCTTGGTTCTTTGCTGTTTCAACATGAGTCTTCTCTTAGTGATCAGGTGGGAAACAAGTTGAGGGCTCAGATCTGATCTGTCTTACCAGGAGAGAAGGTTCTTGATCACCTGTGACCACCTGTAGTCACCCGTGCCCTTTCCTCTTTGCTTCTTCTAGGGAGGAACTTTTTTTTTAAGCAATTAATGAGTCTTAGAATGATTATCTTTATATTTAGTAGCAATCATAAACTGAGGCTCTTGCAAGGATTTATAGTTAATCTCTCCCTGACTGACAGCGGCAGTGATGTTACTAATAGCTTATACTCTGTGAGCCCCGTGTGCAGGACACTCACTGCTCTGTTTCAGGTGCATAATTCATTTTCTTCGATTTGGTTTTGAGACAGTCTCAACGTCCCAGAACAGCTGCGAGTGCGGTAGACAATCCTTTCTTAACTGATCCGTTGGCAAGTATGCTGTCACCATGAGGCTGTATCATACTCTAATACATGTGTATTTCCTGTGAACAAGGACATTTTCTTACCTGACCATAGTGCAGCCCTCAAAATCAGAAAATTCGCAATGAAATGTTATCACCATGGAATGCTCAGACCCCTCTCAACTTTTATCCGTTTTCCCAATAAAGACCTTTATAACAGAAGGATCCAGTTCAGCATTATGGATTTAGTTGTGATGTCTATTTAGTCTCCTTCAATCTAGAATTTTCTCAGTCTTTCCTTCTCTTCATGATCGTGCTATTTTTGAAGAGTATAGATAGGCTAGTTGTTTTGAGGCTGTCCTTCAGTTTGCATTTATGATGTTTCCTTGTTATTAGATTTTGGTCATGTATTCTGACAGCGATAGCACAGAAGCCTGTTTTTTTCTGCATCCTATCAGGTGGTGCACAATTCTAGCTTGTCCCAGTTGAACAAAGTTCTGTCTGCCAGGCTTTGCAATTGCACAATTTCTCTTTTTCTAATTAATGACCATTTTGTGGGAATCTGCTTGAAGTTTGTATAGATACCCTCTTCCTCATCAAACTTTCAATTCATTTATATCAGGATGGATTAATGGCTTCCTGTGTTATTCAGTTGTTTATAATCTGTTACTGTCCCTATTCATTTTGA